GCATCTACAATCCTTTGTTTTTTCTTTCGCTTCTTGTCACGCTTTAACTTGCGTACAAGAGTCTCTAGTAGGGCATTGGTCTATGCCAATTTCCTTCTAGAACGTCCAATCGAGCCTTGGACGTCCGAACCTCACCACCAGACTTCTATTTGGAAATTTCCTCACTAGAGTTTTCCTCATGCAAAGATTCCTCATCCATAGCCTTTTGTTCGACTAGAAGCTCCAACTCCGGAGGAGGTTTTGTGTCCGCCTTGATTCGTTTATGCCTTGCCTTTGCCATCCCCCAGCAATCAGCCTTTATCCTTTGCTAGAATTGAGGAAAAGGCTTTGATACCAAATTATATGCTACAAATTTTTCCTTTCCAATTTGCAAGTTTACCTCATCTATCCGACTGACACTTCCTTGGACTTAGCTAAGTTCCCACACCAAGGTTCCCGCCTATGGTATTAGATCCTACTTGGTTTCAACTACTCACTGCATGAGTAACAAAGCGTTAACCATCCATCCACGGATTCCCAAATCTCTCCCAATCCCCCTCTCTAGGTTAAACTAGACTTAAGGTTCAACTACACTCCCTGCAAGCACAAATAGCCAAGCACACAAAGCCTCCAGATTCTTAACATCCCTTGGCACTGTAAGATTTGATCATGGGACCCTCTAAATCCCAAGCCTTTTGTGCAACACTTCCTCCGAGACGCAAGGGGGAAACACTATGGCTTAACAACCCGGTATGGGTACCCCTACTCCCCCACTTCCATCCCAAAGGGAAGGTTTAAGCCCCTAGGCAGGGCGAGGACTAATGAGCTGCATGGTACTCAAGTGGTGCACCACTCCACATGAGCTAGGAGCACTGCAGTTGGTTTCCCTTTTGGGAGTGGGAGCTGTTCTTGAGCACTTCCTGAGGTGGCCCTTCCAGCACCACCCAAGTCCATGCTCACTCCCACCCAAGGCCCTTCGGCCCTTCGGCCCTAGTCTCACCAATCTCAACCTCAAGTCAGTTTGGAAGCACTACTAGAGAATTCCTTCAAGACTGGTTCTTGGACTCACTATCCCCTACAACGCCGCCCCCCCCGCCCCCCCCCCCCCCCCCCCCTGCCTTTGGGAGACATACGCTTTGGGCTTTCACCCCTCGACTTGTATTAGTACTTGAACTCGGTCTCGGACTCAATCTCAAACTTGATCTCGGACCCAACCTCGGACTCGATTTCAAACTTGACCTCGGACCCAATCTCGGACCCGATCTCAAACTTGACCTCAAACTCGACCTCAGACTTGGTCTCAGACCCAATCTCAAATCTTGGACTCAATCTTGAATTTGGTCTTGGAGCCGGACTTGGACTCGATCCCGGACTCTATTTTGAACTCAGTCTCAGAGTCGATCTTGGACTCGATCTTAGATTTGGTCCAATTCGATAAACTCTTTATCATTTCAGTCGTGCTTTCGGAGATCCTTTAGCCTACGACACCTTGGGGAGCTGGTTCTTTACATTCTCTTGTTGATAATCAAACATTTGAAATATGTGATGCTCCAAGTGGGTGCAAGCTTGTGGACTTTAAATGGGTGTTTTAACAAACTCATGATCACATGATGGATCAGTATCATTACAAGGTTTATCTCATCACAAAAGCATTTACACAAGTGAAAGGTGTCAATTATGACAAGACATTCTCTCCAGTCATGAAGATGACTACATACAAACCATCCTTACCACTACAAATGCCAAGGATTGAAGAGTTCACCAAATGGATGTTAAAATTACTTTTCTCCACAGTGAGCTAGCTGTTCATATATATCCCTGTGGGTTTTCCTAGTCATGCAGATCATGACAAAGCTCCAGAAGCTTCAAAAAGCTTTGTATAGATTGAAACAATTATCCCATATTTGGTATCACAAATTTGATAAAGCACTACAACACAATTAACTCCAATGAGGGAGAAAGGGATGACATACTCATTGTTGCTTTTTATGTTGATATGATCAGGCAATCATACGATTGAAGGCCACACTAACCAACACTTTTCATATGAAAGATCTTGGTGATTGCAAACCTTTTTGGGCATCCAAATTTAGTGGTACTCCAAGAATGCCACCATGAAGATCCACTAAAGTTAGTATATAAAGCATCTTCTACACCATTTTGGCATGGGGTAATGCCACCCCGTGAGGATGCCCACAGTCACTAGCATTTTGACCCTAAGGAATGCAAGGGAGGAACTTAGCAAGTTCCTCATCAGCTGTTTGATGGCAATTTTGATGAGGCCAGACATTTGTTATGCAACTATTGCATTGAGCCAGTTCAATGCAAAACCATGCACCAACCATTGCAAGACCACAAAGCACAGTCTGCAATACCTCAAAGGGACAATGAATTATAATTTAGTTATTTGACGACTGACTTGGAGGCTATACAAATGCAAGTTGGGCGACAAACAAAGGTTGTTGATCCACAACAAGTTTTAGCTTGCAACTTTGCGGGGCTGCAAGCACCTACTGGAGGACCTTGGGCATCCATAGTGAGGCCCAATCATTGAAAGGTGTGACAATCAAAGCAAAATAGCAATGACATGGAACCTGTTCTTCCACGGTCACAAGACATTCTTATGCAGTTCCACTACATGTGAGAACATGTCAAAGCCGATACAATGTGCAAGGCCTGGACTCGGCTGATGCGCAACGATCCATGCTTCAAGCGGCTGGTGGGGACACTGCTGCCACAGACGCTCCTCCTGCTGTGAACAAGAAAACGGGGAGACTGCAAATGCGCTCCACAGGTGTTGACGATATGGCAGCGAGTAGCAACGCCAATGGGTGCACACTTGGTATATGAAATTACATGCTGGAAGTCGGAGGCCAAATTGGGGTGCTTGTGAGGCACGATTCCAGACTGTTGGTGCTGGATAGGGAGAGGTGAATGTGGAAGGATGTGTCATCCTAAGGAGCCTTTTTCGACCATAGGGAGTGTTGCACAGTGGGCAGTCTAACATTTGTGGTGCAAATCTACTGATCATCATGACTATTTCACTTCCACCCACCATAGCTAACATTATATCTCCACCATATCCTAGGTATGTATTTTAGTGAAACTCCACTTATGGTCATCAAATGCCATGTGGAAAGTGAATGGTAGGTACTTCATTGGTAATAAGTTGGGCTCAAGTGGTTGGGTGAGAAGGATCCTAGTCTTTGATTCTCAAAGCCTGGTATGGCATGGCATGAGATGGAAAATGAGGCTGATTATAGTGAACAAGCTCCAGAGTGTGGAGCTTGACTTCAAGAAGATGAACCAAGTTTGTGCCAGCAGGTATCACAATGCCTACTGGATTCATGAGACTGATGGATGCTTCTCAGGTACGCTGATGAATGCTTACATGCTTTTTGTTTTCAGGGTTGATTGTGCCAGAGATTGGAAAGGTAGCAGTGGAGCGGAGCAATGTTTTTGTTTTTGCTAGCTGACTGTTGGTTAATGCAGGGGGGTGTTTGAAGGAGGTGAAACTGAGCTAGGCTGGTTCACCAGGCCTTTGCAATTCTGAAGAGTACAAGAGAACTAGTACGTTCTCCATTTTTGTCGGTGACAAGCCTTTGTTTGAATGTCTACAGAGAAGAGCTAATAATCTGAAAATTAGCATTCAAGAGAGAGCACTATGTCAAAAGTTAGAGCGTGAGGTTCATTTGATTGTATCATAAAATATTATCATTACCAAAACATTTATGTCTTTAGAATTTGATTAGCCATTAAGTATAGATGTTGCTATGTTTTTTAAATTTGTTTTTCATCAATTGTATTTTCAGGTTTACCTTCTTTGTTTCTGATGCTTGAAGTGGAACTTTTATCATATAAAAGATAAGAAAATCAAGGCCATACAACATGATACATTGTGACACATAGTGTCATTTCTATTCCATTTTGTTTTTCCTGCTGAGTTTGATTGAGGTTAGAGGCTAGAGCTATATATATATAAAAATTAAAACTATTTAAATTCCACTACTTTTGTATTTTCATGTAAAGATTTTAAGATTCACTGTCTTTCTAATGCTTCAAGTTTTTAATACTACAGATATAACCATGACAAACACAAAGAGTATCTTGATCTGCTGAATGAGATGATCTCAGCATGCTAGTGATCTTGATCACTAAATTAGAGCTATTGGAACTTGGTTCTTGAGCAAGAGTAATTGATTTTGCCTGCATAATATATATAGTTAATTTTGTCAATTATATTATAGTTATTTACTCCCGGCCATTTTACCTTATTGTTTTGATCGATCTTCTAATTCTATAGTTTAAACAATCTAGGAAGGAAAACTTACGTGCTTGTTGATGAAAACCGGGCTCTTAATCTCGGGATCTATTCCAACGACACGATCAGCTTCCAGAGCTACAGCGATATACTCCAGGTACAAGTTTTTGGAGAGGATGGTGACAGAGATTTGAAACATATGATTGCCTAGATTGGAGTGTTCCCAATAAACAATATCTAACGATGGATGAAAGGAGTTTAGAGATGGCCAATATGATCAAAGTTTTCTGGCTAGGAACTATATTCATTGATAGTTCCATCGCATGAGCACAGCTTCTTGTACATTGTTCTATTTCAGTCTTTGATACTCAGTTACAACCTTGTTTACTCCCTATAGTGAACAGTGAAAAAGGAACAAGGATGCCGTGAGCAAGATTTACTTTCAAAAGCGATTATATTAATCACAAATCAAGAGCTGAAGCTTCGCTGTTAAAATCATCGTCATTTGTAGTGTTCTTTGAATAGATGACATTTTCAAGAGAATCCCACTTTTTTTTTTTTTCCTATTCCAAGTCTTTTTCTCTCTTGTCCATTTGAGGCTTGACTTTCTTGCAGAGCCACATAATCCATCTAATCATATCAAAGGCCTGATAGTGAAACCAACTAAAAATCCGATTAGTTTGCAATGAATTTTTATATTTCCTGTTTTATATTTTTTTCGTTAAAACTTTGTAGTTTAAAAAGTTCTAGGGTTTATGCCTTAAACCCTAGAGAAACATGGCACGGGTGTGGCGCGCAGCGATTTCTCGGCCTCGATCGCCTGGTAGGCAGCTCCATCGATCCAGCATTTCTCATTCTTGGTATAGGTCTGGGCGGCACAAGCTACTGCACGCTCTCCCAAGCCATGGTCGAAGCAGTGCAAGAACAAGGGCAGGACGATGCTGGCGATGAAGACTACAGGAGGGATGTGGAGCAGACTGCGCTGGATTTCGTGCTCGCCGAGGGCTGCTTTGGCCTCATTCCATTGCCATCGCAGGGCCAGGGGAGGCGGCTGGACAGGATCTTGGAGCTGTGCCGGGGCCCGAATGGGAGGTACGAGAATCTCATAGACATTGTCTCGGATAAGAACACATTGCTTGCTGCTTACCAGAGGCTCAAGGCCAGGCCGGGTCTCAAGATTCCACAGCTTGGATCGGGCGAGCTGCCTCTAAACTGGCTGAGATTGACGCGCGAGAGTCTCCTCGCCGGGGCCTATGAGTTTCAACACTACCACGCCAGGAACGTGTTTAGAAAGTTTGGAACTCGTGCTACTCAGCACACTCTTGCCGACCGCTACACCTTTCTCCTCGTAAACCTCTGGGCTATGCGGACCAAGCGAGCGGAGATCTTCTCGGGCAACTGCGAGTTCTACTGGAAGAAAGGCAGGCGGGATCCCTTGAGGAGCTTCAACTTGGATTTCTTCCTGGACTACGGCCTTCACAGCAAGTATAAGCATCCACTCTCCAGTCCATTTCCGCCGGTGGGGGACTTGATCGTCCAAGAGGCCATGCAGATGGCTCTGGAGAAGATCTACGAGCCTTTGCTCTCCCCAAAAGCTCACGGGTATCGTCCCAACAGAGGGTGCCACACTTTGTTGGAGGACGTAAGGAGTAACCGGTGGCTGGGAGTTTGCTGGCTGCTCGAGTTTAACTTCGACAACATCTACGCCAAGATAGACACGGATTTGCTAGCCTCGATGCTTGAGCAAGAGATCGAAGACAAAGGTTTCGTGGAGCTAATACTCAAGCTGTTCGACGTGAAGGCCACCGTTGCCGAGGACGTCAAGTACTCGCCGAAGACCCTGGCCAAGAACCCGCAGTTGGCGAAGAATAAGTACGAGCACGAAGAGCTTGGAGTCCGGAGATCCGTTTTAGCACCGCTACTCTGTCACGTCTACCTGCGATCGCTGGACGACGAGATCTCTCGGATGATTCTGGAGCAGGAGAGGGTGCCAGCAGACCGTGGACGACGGACGATTTTCAACGTCCGCTCCAATCCAGTCCCAGCCAGCAAGGAGCTTCCCATCAACTTGCAGTACGTGCGGTACCTGGACGAGTTTGTGGTGGGAGTCGGGGCGTCAAGGGCCATTGCCGAGAGAATACAGGCTCTGATACTAAAGTTCATGAAAACGGAGCTTCATCTGGAGCCAGACTACGCTTCGTACGTGGACATAAGCTTCGGGTCGACGCTTTTCCTTGGGATGAGAATCACGGCTGCTGAGTCGACGTATGATCCCCGGACAGAAGCAAAAAGGTTGGAGAAACGCCGGAGGAGCAAGTTCCGGAACGTCAAGCTGAGGGAACTTCGTGAGCGGGTGTGGTCGGACAGGATGAAGAGATTGACGCTGCATGCGTGGATGCTGGGACTCCGAAAAGTAAGTCGGGAGCTCCCGGACCTGGAACAGTGCAAGAGCATGGTCCGTCTAAAATCCGAGAATATGGTCAGGGACTTCGCCATTGCCAAGTTGAGGAGTGGAATGACAAGGCTGGCCGTGGAAGAGCTACTCAACACCGAGAACGCTGTGTTCTACAACATGTCTGCCCTTGGGATCCCGGAGGAGATAACCAAGGCTCATCAGCACTTGACGGACTTGCTTGAGAAGCACTACAGGAGCATCTTGAAGGAGAACCGAGATCCAAAGCCGGTCCTGCCGAAGAACAAGTCCAAGAGATTGGAGATGGTGCAGACGTATGGAGCTCTTCCAATTCGGCTCATTGCGCCGCTGGACACCATCATGGCCGAGCTGCGCTACATCGGAATGATCAAGCCCGACTCCATCCGCCCCGACGCTGTTTGCTCGTTTCTCAACGCTCCGGACGAGTCCATCGTCTCTTACTTCGCGGCGATCGCCTACGCGCTGCTCGTCTACTACCGCTGCTCCGACAATTACATCAAAGTGAAGCGTATCGTGGACTACCAAGTGCGATGGTCGGCGCTCATCACCTTGGCTGCCAAGCACGACTTCACCACCAGGAAATCCATTCTCGAGTTCAAGCGAGGGCCACAGATGGTGAAAGGCCAAGACGTTGTGGCGTCGCTGCCAAGCACCCCTGCCATCTCTCGGTTTGGAACGATGTTCTACGACAACATCCAGGAAACAATGCTTCAGCACATCATGTCAGGTACGTTATCTTGACTTTTGTTTCGTGTTTTGGTGATGAAACGCAGATCATTTTTGCAGGATCCCGGCGGCCTCGATCGCAGTGACCATTAAATAGCAAGCGAGGAGGCGTTCATCTGTTTTTTCAACTCTTTCACCCCGCTTTTTTGTGAACAACGCGGGAGGTTGATCATACTTTCTTGCTGAAACTACAAGGCAAGGTAGGACTTTGCTAAAGGTGATTGAAGTTACTAAAGATGCTCGACCTTGTTGTTCTGGTCAGGCTGGAAGCTCCAAGGCCAGAGTGGAAAATGCGAGGAATTTTAGTAGGCATGCCCAGAATCCCGTGTTTGACGTTCTCCCATTTTAAACAAGAACATACGTCCTTTGCTTCTTCTAGCAACTTCGAAAGCTCTCGATTATCAACCACGTTATTGTTTTACTCGGGGATATTGAAAATTATTCCCGGAGTGACAAACACGAACCTCTGCTGGCCATAGACAACCATACTATTAATCCGGGAGAGGTTATTTACCCTTTGCTATCGTTTTAAACAAGCTTAACTAAGATCGTGTGCCGGAAATGGACGCTCAGGATCGGTCCACCCCGCTAGAGTCCATCGCGGCTTTGGCTATGGAAGACGTCACTCTAGCGTTCTGGCAAGAAGCTCCATAACAAAGGGCTGCGTCCAATGCACTCTGATTCCTTCCCCTTGGATTTCTTTCCAAAATCTTCTTCTGCCACAATGCTATCATCTCTCCGTCGCGAATGAGGGCTTTTCCTCCATCTCCATCCTCGTGAGAGACACGAATCCCTCCAATCCAATCCCCAATTCGATCTCTCCCAGGATGAAGATGAACCGGCTCATCGAGAAACTGGATGCGATTCGCGGCGGAGGCGGGCGGCGCTCGGGCAGCGACGAGGACTCGTCCATGGATCTCTTCAGATCTTCTTCCAAGCTCTGGCGCTTCTCCACCTCGTACAGGGAGAGCCTCTCGCCCATCCTCCCCGGCGGCGAGGCGGCGGCGTCCAATTCCTCGCTGGCGGTGCTGCAGCGCAGGGGGGATCACCGCCTCCTCTCGTGCGTCAAATTCGCCAGGAAGGCCAAGAGCAATCTGGTGACGCTCCTGGTGGGCAAGGAGGACGAGGAGCGGCAGGCGTTCCAGGTAGAGCCCCAGATCCTGGACCACGCCATCGTGCAATGCCTGCTCGAGAGATCCAACTTCGTGGCCGCGGGGCTTAGGGCGGGCGAATCGCCGCTGTACGAGGAGGACATCCTGCTCGATTGCGACGCCATTCTCTTCGAGCACATCCTGTGGCTGCTCAGCCGGGACGATCCATCGCTGCGCAACTTCAATCTCGAGGAGCTCTTGGAGTTTTACACAATGTGATCGATGGATTATAGCCCCTTTCTTCCTTCCCCTTTCTTGGTTCTTTCTTCTCTGGCGATTGATCGACCCGCAATGGATGAGATACATGGGATCGATCGATCGAGCAGGGAGAGTTAAATGGTGACCGAGCAAACGATTATATGGAAATTCGATTGAAACACGAAGACGAATCGATTGATCACACAGCGCAATGTAGGTAGGCCGACCTTCCTTTCTTCCGTTGGGATTCTTCCTCGCCCTTTTTAAGAGGTTTTTTGTTCTTTCCTGTTGTCTTCCATTAGATAGGTTGGTGGAGATAGAGAGAGCTCATTCTCCTCCATGCTTCTTTATATGCGTACGGCCGTGAAACTAGGCCACATGACCATTTAGCGCCAGGCTAACGAGTCTAAATTTAAAATATTTCGCGGCAATTTTAATAGCCCTAAAACAGAGCACACGAGAAGAACACGAGAACACGAGAGGAGAAAGTAAGCATCAAACCAGTGAATGGGTTCGCCGATGCCGCCGCCTCACTTGAGGAGCCGCCACCCCCGCCGCCCTCGCCGCCGCCGCCGCCGCCTTGAGCGATCCTTCATCAAGATCATCCTCTGGCGGCGGCGCTGGCTGTGGCGGCTTCATCACGTCCTGCGGCTTTAGCGCGTGCGGCTTCGATCGGCAGCCCAGCTTCTTGGCCAGCGAGAAGCTCGACATCATCGACGCCGCGAGCACGGCGTGACTGCTCTTCACTCCACCCCCGCCGCCGCCGCCGCCGCCGCCACCGCCGCCGCTCTTCCCGTTTCCAATCTTCTCAATCTCCTGCCTCATCTGCGTGCACTCCTTCTCCAGCTCGATCACGCGGCTCCTCATCCGATCCATGTCCACCTTCATCACTTGGTTCTCGCGTAGTACATTCGCCCAGCCTTCTCCACCACCTCCTCCTCCTGCTGCTGCTCGATTCGATGCAGCGGCGGCGGCGGCGGCGGCGCCACTGGCAGCGTCGCGTGGGTTCTGGTAAGCTGGCCGCGACGCCTCCACGTTCTCGGACACGAGGAAGCAGCCGGCGATGGCGGTCCGGAGCTGCAGCTGCTCGAAGAACAGCACCTGGACGACGACGCGGAGGGGCAGGCGCTCGTTCTGAGCGGCGTGAGTGCACGCCTCGAGCGAAAGTTTCTGGCAATCCATGGTGCGACACAGCTTCTCGCGCTCTAGCTCCGTCAACCAGTGATGAGCCTGGAACCAAGAACCAAAGTTATAGAAGAAACTCACGAAGGAGGTGGCACGAAGAACTTACCTTGAGATAGATATCAATCGCACGGTACAGACCATCGTCCACCAGCCTCGCGTACTCGGGCAGCGATTCCGCCAGAGCCTGAAACTTCCCCATCTTGAGATTCACGTCCGGTGCCACCTCCGCGAGGTACGCGTCCATGAGCTTGGCGACTTGCATCATTGGCGTCACCGCTCCATTGTTTGGCGAGCCGTCGTGATCATACGACAGGCTCACCAGGTTCCCCAGCGTGTTCACGGACGATCCACCACCATCGCTGCTCAGGAAATGCTCCACGATCCGCTGGACGACGTCGATGTCGTAGAGGGTCTCCACTGTGTACGAGTAGTTCGGCATGAGGAGGTCGTCCAGCCCGGCCTGTTCCAGCTGCATACCAATCCTCGCTTCCAGGCTCGCCTTGCAATCGCTGCTTGCACCCAGGAGCATCGACAGCTTGAGCAGGCCGAAGAGAAATCGGACGGGGACGACTCCTTTCTGAGCCGGAAGAAGCCGCTGGATGGTCTCGAGTAGAATTCGTTGATCCACCTCAGAGAGCGTGGTGACGGGAGCCGAGTAGAGTCCACTCCTTCTACTTCCACCGCCGCCGCCACCGCCTCCGCCACCTTCGCCTCTGCGCCGGTTTAATCCAGGGAGGTAGCGTTTTCCGTAACTCATCACTGCTCCAGCGACGATCTCGGGCTTCAATCCGCGAACTTCCATCGCCGCCACCAGCCGCTCAAACATGCTCAAGCTCAACGACGCGACGTCCTCGTACCACCAGTCGCTGCGAGAGTTCCTCGGCCGAGCCCCGGTGCTAATCCCGTTCCAGAGGACGCTGCCGCCGGGGCTTTGCATGGTGAGGTGGTGATCCATGAGCGGCCACCCGAACAAGCTCGGATCCGTGCACGCCTTACTGGAGATGGAATCCACACACCGCTTGACAATCTGGAGCTTCTCCGCCTGCTCGAGCACCTTCTCGCACGACTGAAGCGCCCGCACCGAGTCCTTCCAGCTGCGGAGCACCACTTGGTTGAGAAAGCCTTCGGCCTTGACGATGAGATTGCCTTCGCCAAGCTGCTCGGTCATCTCCAGGTGCTCGGCGGCGCAACGGAGCGGGACAATGTTGCTGGCGGTGAGCTCGAGCTTGACGCCGTAGCAGAACTTTGCGGCTAGCTCGAAGGACTCGGTGCCGCCAGGGATGCCAGCGAGCTGAACGACGCAGCCACGCTGCTCTTCATCGTCCTCGTCTTCGTCATCTTCGTTTCTAAGTTGATCGCGGCTCTCTAAGGACTCGGTGATGAGTTTCTCGAGAAGCCCGCTCTTGGACATGAGAGGAAACTACAAGAGACATGGATCAGAACAATTGGATAAGAAATCCAGAATAGAACCTTGTGAAGGTGGAATGTCATTTCGTCGACTTGGACAACCACATCGCTGGGAAGACCGGTCGTACAAAACCTGCGCAAGGAAAAGGAGGAGACAATGGGGCGAGAGATCTAGCAATTCCAAGCTTACCATGCTTGGCCTCTGCGAAGAAATCCCTCGCTCTTGGAGCCCAGCTTCATACTCGCCGCCATTCGAATGCTGTGCGAGAAAAACTGCCGGGAGAGGAGAAAAACCCTCCGGAGTGAGTGATCTGGCAGAGCCTGGAATCTCGAGCAAAAAATAGGCTCTCCAGTAGATTTCCTCGCGCTTCCCTGTGGGTGTGGAGAGAGAGAGAGAGAGAGAGAGAGAAAGAGAGACTTCAAAGTCTCTCTATCTGTCTCTCTCTCCCTTTTGTTCCTTCTGCCTGCCTTTGAATTGGCGATGGAAGACGCGCCAATCACATCAAGCGCACAATGCCGATGCGTGTCATCACCGGCGACGACTCAAACCCGACCAAGAACAGTCGAGCGCTAGCGCACACCCCCTCCCTCCTCATAATCCTCTCAAATCCCGACCTCGCCGACAAACCTCCTGGATTGAATGGCGCGACGGCGTTGCGCAGCGCTCGCTACGCCGCTCCCTTCCAGCTGCGATCTCTCTCGATCGCGGCAAGAACCCCGTCGGAAAGCGATCAATCCCCTCCCCTGTTCTTCGTGCCTGTCCCAAAGGCAAAACCCTTGCCCTGGATGATCCGGTGGTTGGAATCGAACCGATCACCGGGCCCTCCGTACAGCTACAAGCACCGTACGGCCGAGGGGATTAAAGGGTGAAAGCGCCATTTCCTTTTGCGGGTTGGTGCTGGCATTTTGTTGTTGGATAGACTGACGCCACAGGATGTAGCTCTCGCGCGATCTCGTCCGTCCAATCTCTGGCGCTCGCTATACTGGCTTACTGGCTACCTTTACACTTACAGCAGCCAGCAAGGCCAGAAGTGATTGATTTGTCTCTTTCAATTCAATTGCCTTTAGTTTTCATTTCACACTTTAGGGCTCCTTTAAAAGAAGATCGCATATTCTACAGGCTCACTGTATATTCGTTTACCTTCGTCGTCAATGGTCCTAGGCTGAAGAAGCGCTGACCACCATGCCACTGCCACACGCTCTTTCTTCTCCCCGGCAGTCCCAATCGATCCTCGCCTACTTCGATTCTCCCCATTGCCATCGCGATCGTGGCTTGTCGCCGCGATTTCGTGTCGAAATCCCTGCTCGCGCAACGTTTCTCGCGGAAAAGCGATCCAGCTTGCCGGCCAGGAGAGCTCCTAGGGTTCTTGGATCTTTTGGGGGCGCGTCTTCTTTCTCGTCCTCTTCGTCCGGTGTAATGGCGCCCAAGCTCGATCCCTCGCTGCATTTGAAGGCATTCGACGACGGCGGCAAGCTCGCCGAGGGGCTGGCGGATCACATCAGCAAGCTCTCGGCTGCATCGATCGAGAGGAAGGGCGCATTCACTGTTGTGCTGTCGGGAGGATCGCTCGTCTCGGCCCTCACGTAAGTGATGATCTCCTTTTGTTCGGCGAAATTCACGAGGGATCGATCGATTCAGGAAGCTTGCGCAAGCGCCGGTCGTGGACCAGATCGATTGGAGCCGATGGCATGTCTTCTGGGTGGACGAGCGCGTGGTCCGCAAGGATGATCCGGACAGCAGCTACAAGCTCGCGCACGATCTCTTCCTCTCCAAGGTAGAGAATTCCTCCAGAATCTTTGCAGCTAGCTTCCAACACTTGGTTTTTTCTTCTTGGATCATCCAAGGTGACGATTCCAGTGTCTCAAGTCTACTCCATCAATGACGCTCTCGACGCCGAGGCCGCCGCCGACGACTACCAGGCCTTGATCGCGCATTCCATCCAGACGGGGATCCTCGACACATCGCAGCAGGGACTTCCCCGATTCGATCTCATCCTCCTGGGGATGGGACCCGACGGCCACATCGCGTCGCTCTTCCCAAACCATCCGCTGATCCAGGAGAGGCAGCGATGGGTGTGCTCCATCGCCGATTCGCCAAAGCCGCCACCCCAGCGCATCACCATGACGCTGCCGGTGATCAACGCGGCCGCCAACGTCGTGTTCGTCGCGTCGGGGGCCTCCAAGGCGGAGATGGTGGCGCGAGTTTTCGGGGAGGAGCTCCCGGCTGGGGAGTTGCCGGCGCAGATGATCTTGCCTCATGATGGAAACCTGGTATGGTACGTGGATCGAGCGGCTGCTGGACAACATGGATGCTGATTGTTTCGTGATCTCGCAAGGAAATAAAAGCCATTCTTTGATTCGAAAGAAACTTCCGATGATCACGCAAGAACTTCATCGTCCTGCTAAAAGTCTTTATTTTGCGAAAGAAAGCTTCCAACTCTAGGCTCGCTCGATCATCTATCAAAGCCAAAAACGAAGTAAAACGGAGTTCTATCACCTCGTATGTAGCTCTTGGAGCTTAGAGTGCCTTGAGGATCTCGTCGGCGCTGCTCACCGTGTAGGCACCACCCTCCTCGAGATTCAACACCTTGACGATCCCATCCTCGGCCAGTAGCGAGTAGCGCCGGGACCTCACTCCCAATCCCTCCACCTTGTCCGAAAGATCCACGGTCACTCCCAGATCGCGGGTAAACTTGCCATTGCCGTCGGACAGCATGAGGATCTTGCCATTGACGCCCAGCGCCTCGCCCCACGACTTCATGACGAAGGCATCGTTCACGGAGACGCAGGC